TTTTCTTTTTTGTGTGTACGCATTTTTTTTCTTGGAATGGGCAAGGTGGGGTGGTAGCTGAAGAGGGGAAAGGAGAAACTACTGAACGCTTTACTACAAACCATGCTGCCTCAGGACACGAAGCACAGATTTTCTTACAAAGGCTGTCATTCTCTCCCCGCTTCCAAGTCCACCATTTGCAGTTTCATTATGGCAACCCCACCTCCATGTCTATCTTCAGGTACTGCTCTGTAGCATATTTCTGACCCCTCCCTCCATTACTAATATAAGTCCTCCTAATATCCATCTCAAGCTCATCTCCTCAGGGAATGCTGATTAACCCCACTTAGTGTTGATCACCAAACACTTAAGCCCCCTGGACTTCATTAAGTGTTATTCTTTAAAAATACATTTAAAATAGCTTCAGATGCAAATTAGGAAAATAAGTCATAACGTATATGTTGTAGTTTATACAGTGAAATCTTCCATTACATATTTTATTTTTTTTAATATCTATTTTATTTATTTATTTGGTTGTGCCGGGTCTTAGATGCGGCATGCATGTGGGACCTAGTTCCCTGACAAGGGATCGAACCCAGGCCCCCTGCATTGGGATTGAGGAATCTTAACCACTGCGGCACCAGGGAAGTCCCCCATTACATATTTTTAATATACTAGAAATAGGGTGACTTTTCACATATTGATATGTTTAGTTAGTTTCCAAGATGAAAGATCTGGAGAGGAATCCTGCAACTATAAAGTCATTTTATCGGACTTGTTTTCTTTGCTCGTTGTGATTGCCAGGACTTGCTGAAGTTGATCCCAGCTTGGAAATTGGCATGTATACTTTTGCAAAATGGTTCTTATAAGGACTATGAAAATGTGGTCATTGAAAACTGTTTCAGAAAATGTATTGCTCCTGCTATGATGTTAAAAATGGTAATTTTTAAAGGTTATGTCCACTCTACTTAAGTTTAATTATAAATTGGATGATTTTTAAAGCTGTCTTGTCTACTTCTTGGTGTATTTTAAATTTGAAATGGATCTTTGAACACTTGCACCCTGCTAGACCAGTGGTCACTGGGTTCCTTGGTTTGCCACTAGAGCCATCTCCACTCTGGTATTACTAAGGTGACTCATGTCGTTTGGAGGTAAGGCAAATACTTTGCACTAATTTCCCCCCATCCCTTCTCCATTACTGTCAGCCCCCTAGCCATCACTGCCCTCACTTCTCCAGAGGCAAAGATGATGTAATTGCAGCACCTTTTCCTCTTTCTAACACACAAGATTGAAAGTTGCCCTTGGCAGATACCCTTTGGGATGTTCTTTTGAACTTTTGTTTACTGGTGTACACCATGCTGATTTGCCTGCTATTTTAGGATTACTGGATTGCAGTCTTCTAAGCAACAAAGAACCAAGTCTAATTTATGTTTAGCAAAATACTGCTTGTAGTAGAAATGTGTAAGTTTGTGGAATGCAGTATATTAGGATTGAATGACTTTGAGGAATCCTTTAATGTATGCTTTTGAATAAATTTTTTGCGCTTGTAGTTCTTAAAGTCCACTAGAAAGAGAACTGGGGTTGGTGGGTTGGTTGGTTTTGAACCTTGCAAGCAGTAAGAACTCTTCACCTTTCCACGAACACCCCGCACCCCCATCGTTCTCCCTTGCTTCTAGTTGTCGTTGATCCTGATCTCCAGACCCCCAGCCCAGTAACAAGTTCCTTAGTGGTTCTTAAATAGAGTGCAAATCAAGCGGTCTTCGTCCCCACCGCGGCCCACGTGGGGCTAGTTTGGGGAAGACGCAGCTGAGTAGACAATTTCGCAGGGTGACTCATTCTCAGCACCGACCATCGCATGTAAACCCGCCAGGGAAAATATGCCAGACATTGTTATGATGAAAACAACTGGGAGGGGTCGGTGGTGAGGAGAAGAACTGAGATAAAATTTGGTCAAATCTACCGTCGCCCTGGAAGCCGGGCAGCGAGGCGGCCGGGGCGGCCGGGGCGGCCGGGGTACCTGCGAGGAGCTCGGGCGGGCGGGCGTGGCCTGCGGGCGTGGCGGCGGGGGGCGTGGAGGGGGCGGGGCCGGCCGGCGGCGCCGGCGGTTGGAAGG